GCTCAAGATTCATCGTTTGGAAGAGATGAATGCTTTGGAGAACTCAACGTGTGTCAACATGGGTGAGAAGGTTGAGATGAAAGATCCACTGGACAAGGAGATGGAAGCTGCTTCTGAGTGTAAAACTGTATGGAACTGTTTGTGCCAGACCAAAAAATCTCTCAGGAAGGATTCAGCTCTTAGATGACATTGAATGGCCAGAGTTACAGAGAAATGTTTTTTCTCCTCCAGCAAGGAGAAGAAAACAGGCTGTAATCAAAACACCTGATAACGGCCAGAGAAATGAAGCAGTGTTTCTTCAAAACAGATTCACACCACTGGAAGAAACTCAGTCTGAAYAAAGTTCATCTTCTGATCTCAGAGAGGGACCTGAGACCAGATCAAAGCCAAAGCAAGTCTGAAGAGAGACTTTCAAGAATCAAGAAATGTTGATCAACACATAAAATGGTGAATGAGATCAGAGGCTTCTGGAACAAGAAAAAGGTCAAAGTTCTCAGTTTTGCTGATAAAGTTTCTGACCTCACAGAGAAGATTCTGCAAACAGCTGAGTATCCAACTTTGAATACACTCATCATTCATACAGGAAGTGATGAAGTTATGAATCGACAGTCAGAAATCCTGAAGAAGAATTTTATTCTGCTGCTGAATGCAGTTAAAAATCTCAACATGGATGTGTTCCTCAGTGGGCCCATTCCAACAGCCAGAGGAGGGGCTGAGAGGTTCAGCAGACTGTTGGCCCTTAATGGTTTTTTGGAAAAGTCCTGTGTTGACCACTCTGTGAGATATGTGGAYAACTTTGACCTCTTCTGGGAAAGAAAACACCTCTTCAGGTCTGATGGAATGACTCTGAATCAAACTGGAGTACAGCTTCTGGCTTCAAACATGAAGTATTTCCTGAACAAAATTCCGGCTGGAAACAAACAGGACAAACCACAACAGCTGACGTCTGAAGGACAGCTGGAGAAAACTGAGATATCAGTGGAACACAGAGTGCCAGTTACTGATAAGGAGACTCAGAATCAGAGAGAGGGGTTGTTTCAAGCTGCAGAACCGGAAGAACAACTGGATTCATCAGCATCACAAACAGAGGATCTCTTGGACTCTGAGACCCCAAGAGGACAGCAAGTGGAATGCCCCCTCCGGGATTTTTACTAACAACATGAAAGAACCTGGCAAGWTTAAGATCAAACAAACACCATGTCCAAATCCACGTAACCCTCCTCTTCCAGCCCCTCGCACTAAACCAAGATCTACAAAAAGTCAAAGAGCTCCACCAACACCACATCTGACCCTTCCATTCAACAAAACAGACAATCCTGTTGGCGTTCAAGACGATCCAAAGACTTGTGTGATAACTATGTTTTGGGGTCAGTAATTACTGTGGAAGGAATAAAAATTGAATTTCTGGGGTTGGGATTTCAGAAAGTACATATACAGTTCTTAGGTTTATGTTGACATGTTTTTTTTAATACATTAAAGAGCTTTTTTGTTTTATTGATCATTGAATTGGTGATTTTAATGATCAGATGGGGGAGTGTAATAGAACTAATACTTWATGTTTAAGCTATTTATTCATGACATCCTTTAATGACCTAGGTTTTCATGACATTCTGTTCATCTGCAGATAGAGTGATTAAAGTCAGAACAAGATTTGCTAACAACAATAATCATTCTTAGATATCACTTGTGTTTCTTTGTGTTTTCCATTGACCTTGTATCAAATCTCGCTAAGATGACAGAATGGTGTTTGTTAATACATATGAGGCCTCTCAACAGTGTACAACAGTAGTGTGGAGAGACTGACAGAGAGAAGCAGAGGCACAGAGACAGGCCAGGTTCTCTGTGTTTCCTGTTGTTGCAATAGAACTCAGCTGGTCATCCCACGGAGTACCTTCATTCTTGGACCACGTATTTCTGTCTTTGTTAAATAAATATTACCTTACCACATTCAAATTTCAGAGGTTTTTTTTTTACTGGAACACCCAGTAACACACAATAAATTTAGCATTATTAAAAATCATGTCTTTCCTATATTYTTTAATTTTGGGCTTCACAATAATAGAAAAAAAATTACAAATCCTCTTAACAGAGGTTTGATTACTCAATGTCTGTATACAGACAATGGCAGAACTCAACTCACTAACATGTCATARGGTTCACTTCCTTTTAATTGGCAGGATGTGACCAAAAACAAGCAATAAATGAGACAACTGAAAAAAAAAAAAAAACAGAACAGTTTGAACATTGTTTTTTATCAGTTCTCTTAATGTCCAATTTTTTACTTGACTAAAATTTACTTCCCAAAAAGTGTAACGTGCTGTAGTGACGTATAAACAAAGTGCAACAAAAGGCTTCAAAAACGTTCATTGTGTTGTTTTTGTCCCTTAACACCCATACAGCACTTGTACAGTTGACAATGACTGTGTCCAAATTCAGGAGCTGTRTCCTTCGAAGRACTCGACCTACCCAGCCTAGGTGGGCAAGGTCCTTTGTCTAACACGGAGACCGTGAGTAAGTGACAGTGAATTTGGATGGTTTGGCCTTCAGTTTTATTCCCACTCTTACTCCAGCATATGTCCTGTCCCCTTATTATTCTTATTAACATCCTAAATTAACACAATTAATTTAGAGGCAGTACATTAAGAACTAAGGGAATGGCCATACAAACTCATTTGATTTCTGGCAAGAATAATTTTAAAAACCCATCTGTGCAAATGGCCAAAGTCTAACAACACAGCCGCTTTAAATTTTTGTACTGCCAGATATTTATTTCAAACTTTACTCATGTCTTATTTTGTTTGCCCTTACAAGCAATTTTTAGAAAAAATCTCACGGTCTGCCTTTGAATTTGGGCAGCCTCAGGCACATGGCTGTGACATAATTGGCCTTCAAATTCGGCCTTTGAAGGATGCAGTCCTTGAGTTTGGACACAGCCCAATCTGTGTCCATCCTCTTTACCTGCTTCTTCTTTCCAGGTCACGGGGAGCTGGTGCCTATTTCCACAGTAACTTTGAGAGGTGGGGGACACTCTGAACAGGTTACAGGTCCTGCGCACAGACAATCATTTAAACACTCATAAGAACATGGAGTTACCAACTATTCTAACAAGCATGTTTCTGTTCTGTGGAAGAAAACTGTGTGGAAAAAAMCCCAGACATGAACGTGCAAACTCCACTAAGAAAAGACCAGAAGGCTGACTTATGACCTTATCCCTGACAGGTAAAAGTGCTAACCACTGCACTGCCCTGTTTTGTTCTGTTATAATCATTGTGTCATCTTTCAAACATTATAGTCTGCAACAACCAAACACAAAGCAGATTTAGGACCATACATACTCCAAAAGTAGCACAGCAGCTCAGTGGTTAGCATTGAAGCTTCACAGCAAAAAAGGTTCTGGGTTTGATCCGTGGTTTCGACCTGGGGGTCTTTCTTTGCAGAGTTTGCATGTTTTTGTGATTGTGTTGGTTTTCTATGGGTACGCCAGGTAACCACGTACAGTAGTTTACCTTCAGTCCTCTTCCTGTCTTGATTAAACCCTGCTGTCAATTATATTTTGCAATTCTTGCAGGTAATTTTKTGAGCTGCCAAGAAATGCTTCAACATTCTCATAATAAAAGTGGAGTACAGAAAAAAAAATGTATGACTCATCACCCAACCCAATGCGACTGTTGGCAGGAGAGGCAGAACAGGGTGTGGTCAGGACAAGATCATAGCTGAACGATGAGCAATGGAAGCTCAAATTCTTAATTGGGAGACGACGTCCGAGTTAGGGTGTCAGACAACCGAAGACATTTAATCTGCTACTGTTGTCGTAATGAAAGCCTGCTGCATACGTTAATGGTATTTTTGAGATTCCAGCAGCTACAAAAGGTTTCATGGAACAGTCAGTGTCTTTTCTGGATACACCTCAGGAGGCCTGAGCAGCTAACTTTGGACTCCTACATAGCAACAACACAGTCATCGCTTTAAAGGGAGGGTATTGTGTAAAATCAACTTCGAGCTTTATATTATGCTATAATGTTACATAAAAACATACCCAGAATGCCTTGACTCATTCATGGAGGTTTGAGAAATTCTTGAATCCCCTGTGGTAGCCATGAGGAGCAGTCGAAACACTTGAGGGTACAAAGCACCTCCCTTGATTTTATAGTGACTCAGTTTGCAGATGAGCTCCGACTCCACAGAGCACCTCTCCCCCGAAAATGTGCTGAAGTGGGAGTGTTGGAAATGGTAGGAGGTTCTTAAAGAGGCAGAGGCTAGTTTCAAGATGTTTAGATAGACCAGGGCTATTCAACTGGCGGCCAAAATGACAAGTTCGGCCCGCCAATTGGTTCATTCATTTAAGCCCAAACCCCCGGTTTTCTACTTTAATGATTCTAAGTTCTTTTAGTTAGACATAGACATGTTTGGCATCTACAGAAACGTCTGAATCTTGGTTAGAAAACTAAAAACCATTTCAACGAACACCCAAGACAGTTAAAACTACACACAGTTGAAGATAWAACTATGAAAGTGAAAATAAAATTGGTTWAAAAATTTGGCAAGTCAGAGATGTCAAAAAATTATTTGTGATAAATAAGAGGCATAATGTGTTCGTTTTTGATAGTTTAATTATGACTACTTTTATTACATAGAGTTCTGTACATTGTATTCATAATTAAATGTAGCAAAATAAACTTTCTAAAGGCAACAGATCTTTGCAATACTTGTTTATTTACATAATAAAAATTGCTGGATGTTCAGCCCCTCAGCCGTTGACCTGCAGTAACTGTGGCCCCCAGAGTAATTTAGTTGAWTAGCCCTGAGATAGACCATGATGAAAAGTCACATTTTTAATATATACAGCATTTTCATTACTGAAGGTAACAGTTACTTGATTGTGGTATAGAATTGAACTATGTGCCTGGAAAATACATGATACCCCCCTATRAGAATGTGAAAACATGTGGGTCACAGATCAAAATCAAGAAGAACCAAAGACCTCCACACAGACTCGTAACAGTAAGTTGTGGGGGTTTGTCGGTGCTTTGCACAGTAAGGACCAAAAAATGTGCCCGACAATGAGATAGATGTGAAAAATAGAAAAGCAAAGCAACTCAAAGACATGAGCTCAGAGAGAAACGGAGAAAAAAACAAAACAAAAACAAGAGACGACGCAGCAATCCTGTCATTCCATACATGGTTAAAGTGCCTCCAAACAAAACAGTATCAGATTAACACTCACTCACCCAAACACAAGCGTGTACGCTGTCCGGAGCAGCAAAGAGTGCCAAAACTCAGCAAAGRATCACATGCTAGGCTTAATGGACAATTCATCCATTTTGAACTAGAAAATAAGAATAGTTACCTTTGCTGCAGCCTGGAGTCAATTACAGCAACAATTATTGGTGTTCACAGTTTGAGTTGTTTAAAATTGGCAGTGACAAACTTTGGAACTAGGTTTTTGCTGTAACAGYTAGTTTGTCAATATAGTCAGAATATTGACCGTTTATATGATGTAGTGTGCTACTTTCTGCGTTGTTTAATGTGTGTTTGTGTGCCTACCTCTTGTTTCTGCTCAGGCCCCTCCCACTCTCACCTGGTCCTATTTGTCTCCCTCACAGGTGTTTGTGGTTTATGTTCGTTAAGGTTCCTTCTGGCTTGGTGCTTTCTGTATGCCATGCTCTGAAATTTGTGCGAATGTACTGAAGTGCTAAATGATCAATCARCATCATCAKCAGCAGCTTCAGTACTTACTGAAAATTAGTTTTCTCTCTGTAGAATCAATTTTTTTGACATTTATCTTCTTTGTTATCATTATTATTAAGTACGCATTGACAAACCAAGGCTGTATTAGCTGCTGCGTGACCATTGTGATGCAGATAAATGTGAATAAAATGTGCAATCTGTTTTTCTGCTTGATTAAAAATATGCAGCTAATAAAACCCTCTGAATCCAGTTTCAAAGCAGCCGCTGCCTAAAATTCTAACATTTATAGTGACTTTCTTCTCAAAAACCTGATAGTAATTTTTGAACTTTTGGGACATTTTGATGTATAAACTGAATAAGAAGTAAAAGAMAACCAGGATCAAAAGAAATCTAATTAGTGATTAGAGTCGCCATGATCAGTTATATCTGAGCTCTAAAGAAGAGACGTTTCTTTTCAATTATTTATCCAAAAAAAAAAAAAACAGTTCTTGTCCTGTGATTTCTTTTTGTTTGTTACAGTGACAGTATGTCCCCTGTCAAGTTTGTTTTATGTTTTCCGGAGTCACAGCTGCAAAATCATTAGAATAAAGCTAAAGGCCTGAAAATTTGTTTAGCCCAGAAACATTTTCTTTTCTTTACCCCAATCACCCCACCCCCACCCCCCGCAACTGGATAGTCATATTTGCATTTCTTTTGCCTTTAAATGAGATGAATTTCAGCTCTTTGTATGTGCAGTTTCTGTTCCTCCAGTCTCTCAGGAACAGGACTTCAGCTCAGACGGGACGCTTGAGATGAAGCTCTGTAAATCTGAGACATAAMACAGGTTTTATAAAATCACAGTGATTCACTGCTTTTTGTCACATAACATAGAAACTCAGACAAGAACAACACTAACGATTTGAACTATACAAACAGAGGGAATGATTCTAAACAAATCTCAACTGTCTCGATGTTTTAACAATGACTGAACAGTTTGAAAATTCTTCTTAATAATAGTTTCTGTACAGCTCCTGATGCTTTTACTCCAGAGCAGAAATATTGTCATTACACTAAGAGCATGGAGGTGCTGAAGCTGTGGGTCTGTATCTGTGTGTGTGTGTGAGATTGTGATATTAGCAAAATAGCTCATGAATCACTTTAATGAATGTCCATCTAAAGCAGTGGTTCCCAAAGTTGGGGTCGGGACCCAAAGTGGGGTCCCGAAACATCAAGGTGGGGTCCTGAAATTTTTTTTCTGAATTAATTACATTTTTGCCTTATTTGTTACAAAAGAGTGAGGTTAGTATATTTAAAATGGATAAATGTAGTATAAAAAATATTGTTACTATGCCCATGTTTTGTTGACCTGATACAAATGTTTATCATCCAAAAACACATGGGGGCACAGGTCTCTGCTACTGTTATTTTGTGGGTCAAAAGCTGAAAAGTTTGGGAACCACTGCACTAGATGGACATTCATTAAAGTGATTCATGAGCTATTTTGCTAATATCACAATCT